TTGGCTTAACCAAATCTTTGAACCAAAATCTTGAAATCGAACGAGATCGACGGGTGAGTTAGTTGTTCTTGAGATTCCAAAATGCTATAGTCTTTCTAATTCCTCATCTAAATTGGAAAAGTCACTTAGAAAATATGAGTGTGTGGACCACTATATTTATAGAGCCCCTAGGCCCAAAGATTCTTTTTTTCCCCTTTATATCTATCTTGTATTATTGATATCGTTTGCCCAGATGTGAGAGTTTATTTGCCCATCATTGCACGGATCTTCCTATTTGATCGTAATAGCTAGCAGGCATGACAGCTAGCGAGTGAGCGCTTGTTACACGGGCGTAAGTCGAATGCCACGTTGTTGACCTGCATACGTTGGCACTAAGCTTGATTGTAATTTTACCTTTCGCATTTCATTTGCTGATCTTTGATTGATTTTATTGGTATTGCTATCCTTTGTCGAACAGTAGGACGTAAGGTCTAATGATTTGGGGCCTCAACCAATTCATAGATTTTAAGGCCCCTATCCCTTAACACGCCCCTACAAGATGGTGGCTTGTTTGAGTATATCAATCTTGAAATCCACGTGCTCATTTTAGAGTCTTAACGGGATCGAATCGCTCGTTGGAGCATAATGGGCTCTGATACCAAAAAGAATTAATTGAAAAGAGAAGAGAAGTTTGTGGAATTGTGTCACACACCAAATGGGCTGTTCCACTGCTATAATCAGGGCTGAAATCATGCTAAACATAATTACAGAGAATAATTCTAGCTGCTAATTTGTCGCCATACATTTAGCGATACTACTGAGTCTTCATCCAAGATTCTTGGAGCTGAGTTGGCTGATTTTGTATGCATGGTTTTAGGAGTAATTATAGGCTTTGATTCATCTGTTTTATTAGGCTATGTCGAATACAGAGCATGATTTCGGGCCTTAACCAAGTTTTGGTTATTGAGGTTCTTTCTCAGATTTTAGAGTTATTTCGAGCTGACCGATCCTTTTTTGTCTTTGTTGCTAGNGTATAGGGTTTGGTGATAATCAACAGCACTTAGAGCGATTTTGAGCTAACCAATTTCTTGGCTTTGTTCACCGCTATGTATTGAGCGATCTTCGAGGTAGTAGGGTATATGGTCTGGTGATAATCACCAGCCCTTAGAGTGATTTTGAGCTAACCAATTTCTGGCTTTATTGCTCACCGCTCTGTTGAGTGATATTCGGGGCAGTATGGGAAATTTGTAGTCTTCGCTTCAACCAATCACAAATCAAGGTCTCGGTCAATCAAGCTCTTTTATGTCCCAAATTTTCATCAATGTCTTGGCCCATGGAGTATTTAAAGGGGTGAAGGCTTTGACCTTTTCTCGCCTCTGCCTAACCTACAGATCCTAAGTGTACCCCCTGTTTATGCGTTCATTCCTCGGGTTGTCTTTATCAACAGGTTTTCGCTCATCACCTATCTTTCGCTTGTGACTTTCTGTCTCACATCCTTCTCTTAGATTTTTAGTGATCTTCCCTGCTTCCTCTGCATCAACGTAATTGTCATCTTTTTTCAAAAGTTTATTCATCGATTCTAGGGGTTTTTAGAGAGTGGCATCTTAAAGGTCCGGTTCTGCGTCCCATTCATTAATGTTGTTCCATTGTAGACATTTGAAGGTCCTTTATACCAAGTGTTGCCCGGTTGAACCTAGCCAAGTACTTCTGCAAAGATTCATCTTTCTCTTACATAACCTGCATCAGTCCAATGGTCGTCTTCTATTTTTTTTTTGCTACTCATGAAGTATGCCACAAAACTCTTGGAAAACTCATCAAAAGTCTTTATAGATTTGGGTGCCAAGGTGGCCACCCAGTCTCTAGCCTTTCTCATGAGTGTTAGGGGAATGGATCGGCACATCTCTACGTTTGAGGCTACATAGAGTTTCATTAAATCAACGAAGGTCTGCGAGTGGTCAAGCAGAACTGTGACACCATCGTATACTTCTATCATCGGCTATTTAAAGCTTTTCAGTAAGGGAACAACCATGATTTTAGATGCAAAAGGATCTTCTTCCAAAACCATTTGCCTTCGCCTATCCTTCCTCTTAGTTAATGCATCATCTATTTTCTGGGCCATCATCCCCTCCATCTTCCTTTCCAAGTCCATCTTGGGTCGGGGCGAAAATGCAACCCCTAAGTCCTCCACCGTTGGCTGAGTAACATGCGGGATAACCATTTGCGCCACTTAGGGCGGTTGCTCACGTACGACCTCCGGTAGATTCTATGGTGGGGCTGCGGCTTTCTACGTTTAACTCTGCAAGAAGGCCATCATGGTTGCCAATTGAGTTTCCAGGCCACTAAATTAGCTCTGCGTCATGTACTGCAGTGGCGAGTCATGACCCCTTGCAATAGATTCCGACTCCATCTCTGCCGCATTTTCGACCATACGCATTTCACTCCTAGTTCATTTCTTTGACATAGCTTTTTTGTTCAATGGTTTCCCACAGACGACGCCAATGAAATAGTAGTGAGGTAAATTTCGTGTTCTCCTTGACATGAATGGTGTTCTGGCTGCTCCGATCAGTGTTTGCTACCTGCAAAATGAGGTCGGGGCTTTTTCTCCCGTTGTACTTCCGGCGTGAGAATTAGTGTTCGATTTTAGAGAATATGAAGAGATTATGTGGAATTCAAATGGTTCTTGTTTCAAGAAGGCCATACCTTTCTCATCTTAGGGGTATTTATAGGCACCTGATGCAACACACTTGTTTAGCAGTTAATGGTGCCACACGTCCAACGTAGATCTTCCCACTTTCCCCACGTTCTGATGGGATGACCCCCACTTCTCAAGCGGTTGGTTGTATCCACGTTTGCCGTTGAGCGGTTCATGTCCAGCTCATTGCCATTTGTATGGTTAAGTGTAGCATCGGCCTTATGGTAGTATACAACCTATGTAAACGTAGAGGGCATCAAGGTGGTAGGCGACCTCATGGCGACCTCATGGGGGTCGATGGCCTTATAGTGGTAGACGACCTATGTAAATGTAGAGGGCCTCATGGTGGTAGGTGGCCTCATGGGGGTTGACGGTAGAAGGCATATATGAACGTAAGCGACCTCATATGGGTCGACAATCTCATGATGGTAGGCGGCCTCATAGTGGCAGACGACATATGTGAACCTAGAGGGCCTCATGGTGGTAGATAGCATGTAGGGGTAGACGCCTATCATGTGGTGCTCTACGTGGAGTACATATCAAGTAGTTCTCACCTCATTGGCCATTGTGTATAATTATTAATGTCATCATGTATCATCGACCATTATCTGCCCTACCTATTATAGCGTGTCTCGTTACCCGAGTGCTTAGCATAATCTAAGCACTAGTACTTAAGGGATCGATCATGTACATACGAGTGGGGCCCTCCCCCATGTGAGTGTTATGTATACCTCTTATGTACAAAAAATATGTACTCCTAGCAAAACCCTTATTCGTATGTACAATGGAGTGTATGTATTAAATATTTTTGAATTGATATTTCAATTTAAGACTTAGCCCCTATCTAATTTAGACAAAAAAAAAATAAATTTTTAGTAATATTTGATAAAAAATGATGTAATGCATAATTAAAAAAAAGTCGAGCTATAAGTACAGAAATTCAAAATTTCTGTACTTACTGAACACTCACATTCAAGGGAGGGAAGATAATTTTTTTTTTCAATATTTTATACATGGTGCGGGCCCCGTGTGACTGGAAATTCAAAAATCTGTTGAATTTTTGTAAAATATTTCCTGTACTTTCAACATAAATCATTAAAAAATTGTAAATTACATGAAGTATGCAACTAAAATTTAGGGTAATTAGCACATAACGCCCTTACTTTTCATTATTATTGTGAAAAACGTCAACATCTTTCATTTTTGATATTTTCACTCTTAATTACATATTTGATTGCACAAAATATCATTTTGATTTATTTTCATTCAATTTCTCAATAAAAAGTTGTGAAATAACGAATATACTATCATATTTAAATAAAAAAAGAAAAGAAAAATAAAGAACTAATTACAATCATAACCCTAAACTTTAAAAAAAAAGTACAAACGAGTCCCAAAAAAAATTTAAAAAAAAATTCTCTTTCTCTTCATCCTCCTCTTCCTCCACCTCCACCTCCACCACTACCACCACCACCACCACCACCAAAAAATTAGAGCTAAAAATATATATTCATTTTCCTACTGTTCAATCTCCACTTCTCAACCCTTCAAATCCTTTCTTTTCAGTGATAAATAGGCTAATGAAAACCCACGTCACTAATGAAAACTGTTGACCCCAAAAAATAGTCATATGACGTGGTCAACAGAAAATTAGAGAATCACTTTTTCAGAGAACATACTAGAACTTAAATATGAACAGTAACTATGAATCATTGTAGGGAATGATCCACCGTGTTTTGTATGGTGATGTTATGTCTTTTCAAATAAAAAGGGGTCGACCGTTGCAAATGGTAGGGAGAATCCGTGTTTTTTCTCTCAATGTCTGAATTCCTCTCCTTAACGTCTGAGGTTAAGGCTTTTTATATTTCCCGGATGTGGTCTGTCCGATCTCAAAGGATCTAAGGGTCCCTGTTAGAGTCAATCAAGCCATTAATACTTAGACCCCCTTGTCTTTTCCCTGACACATGATCTGACTAGCGAAGGTGTGTAGAGACGACACTAGTAGGGTGTTGTCTTGTCAATCATTTCATTTAATTTACTCGGTTGACATATTGCCTCATTAGAGGGGAGCTGATGCCTTCGTTGACGGGCTTAGATGAGGAACATCTGGGTTGAGATCGCCTCGGCATGCACAGGTTAGCCTGCCCGCTGTCCCACCCGTGGGCCTGCTAGCTTGTCACGTGGAACTTAACTTAACGATTATTTATATGGGTAACAAAAACCATACTCAAATTCTAAGGGAAAAAATAGACAATTATCAACATAATTAAACTAATTCCAAAGTGATCTTCCGAGTAACCTTGTAGATGTGAGGCTTATAGCATTGGATATGGGAGCTTCAATCGCTGGAGCAAAATACAAAGGGGAATTTGAAAACAGATTGAAGGCTGTTCTGAAGGAAGTTGAAGAAGCTGAAGGAAAAATGATCTTATTTATTGATGAAATTCATCTTGTTTTGGGTGCTGGGCGCACTGAAGGATCAATGAATGCTGCTAATCTTTTTAAGCCTATGCTTGAAAGAGGTCAATTGCAGAGTATCGGAGCCACAACTCTTGAAGATTGCAGGAAATATGTGGGGAAGATGCTGCATTTGAGAGGCGTTACCAGCAAGTTTATGCGACTGAACCAAGCTGAAGATGCTGCATTTGAGTGGCGTTTCCAGCAAGTTTATGCGACTGAACCATGCGTTGCCGACACAATTAGCTTTTTGAGGGGGCTGAAGGAGAAGTATGAAAGGCATCATGGTGTTAAGATTCAGGATCGAGCTCTTGTGGTTGATAATTGTCTGATTTTTTTCCCCTGAAATTTGAGTTTGGTTTTCATTAGCTAATTTGGTCATTGAAAAGAAAGGTTTGAGGGCTGAGAAGTAGGCATTGAACAGGAAGATGAATATATCTTTTGAGCTTTAATTTTTTGGTGGAAAATGCTCTTCTGCCAGGCTTGTAAAAGGCTGGCAGTGCTAAGCTCTCACATGAGGTAGGTCCTCAAAACCCCCATCCCCAAATGTTAAACACCCACCCCCCATCTCACAATTTGCCCTGCTAGGCCTAAAAGGCCCGGCAGAGTAGCATGGTCCTTTTTTGGTCTTGGTGTGGTGGAGGAAGAGGAAAAAAGTCTTTTTCTTTTTTTTTTCTTTTTAAATAATTTATTTAGAAGTCGTTTGTATTTTTTTTTTTTTTGAAAAATGAGACTATGAATATAATTAGTTCTTCATTTTATTTTATTTTTATTTAAATACGAGGATGTATTCGTTATTTTATATTTTTTATTAAGAAATTTGATGAAAATAGAGAAAAATGATTTTTTGGACAATTAAATGTATAATTGAGTGTGAAAATGTAAAAAAATGAAAGATAGAGATATTTTTTACAATAATAATAAAATATAAAAACCTTATCTGCTAATGATACTAAAATTTAATTATTAACTATTAATATTAATTTTAATCAAATTTTCAGTGAAAGAAATGGAGGCTTAGGCCCTGTTCTCATTGTCGTTTTCCAGCCATTTTCTGTTTTTAATTTCTCAAAACAACGAAAACTCGTTCTCAATCTTATTTTCGAAAACACATATAGAAAAATGAAAAAAAAAATATAACTGAAAA